AGAGAGAGAGAGAGAGAGAGAGAGAGAGAGAGAGAGAGAGAGAGAGAGAGAGAGAGAGAGAGAGAGAGAGAGAGAGGCTTATGTAACGCTGCGGCATCAGAGTGTGGTCTTGAAAAGTGCATCCTTTTAATCATCATCATTCATGAGGTCTGTCAAGGAACCGGGACTCCAGGGTGTGAGTTGCTGATACTGTGGGCGTGGGTGAACGTGATCCATCATCGAGCGATTTGGTGGATGAAAGAAAGAGCCGTTCGCTAAGGTAAGAGATGCTCGGTCAGTGTTTTCCTTTTTTGAACTCTCACTGAAAAGCCCGCCTGCTTCTGAGTGCGTTTGGTGTGTTGGTAACGACCTCTGAGGGGAAATTCCTGAGTTCTTGGACATTTAGGGCCTCCTCCTCAACCATGATTGAGAGACCATATTGACACTGAGATGTTTCGGGATGCATCTGTGTCTGCAATCGCGGGTCATACTGGATGTACCTCACGGTAATCACGTCCACAATCCAGTCGGAAAAGTGCTTCTGAGAGAATAGGCCCTGAGACAGGGATCCAAGACGCGTGCACGTAAAAAACTGTGACTATCTGCTTCGATGTGCTGGGACAAGGAAGTAGTAATCGAAAAGAGACGATCAGGGCAACAAGTGATCTGACGGTCTGGAAGGCAGATAAAGCTAAAAATAGCAATGAAGAAAAGAAGCTCAGGGACGATGGTGATGATGATGATGTAGATGATGATGATGATGATGATGATGATGATGATAATGGACCACGCCCGATCTCGAGGAGATCGTCGTCACTCCGAGGTGGAAGGTGGCGCGTTGCCTTGGGACCACCACCATAGCTAAGCTATGGCGGTGGGTGGGCGGCATTTAGGGTGAAGATGGTTTTGGTAAACAGTCGCCTGCCAGTGGGCCTGGTCACTGCAACCTCCTGAGAAGTCCACCGTGTGTTTCCGGTAATTGACAGCTACCGGTAGCCCGAGCGGCGCGTTAGTGCCCGCTGCGAGAGACGCCAGGAAACGTGTCGAGTCCCGCCCCCTTTTTTTTTCTCGAGAAGATTCAGTGGATCTTCCGTGAAAACATGGGCGGTTGGTCATTTCTCTTTCTTTGGTTGCTGTTTGAATCTGGTCTGGTTTTTGAATTTGAGGAGAGAACAGGACAGCGGCTTGGATTCCTTGCATTGACAATTTGTGTTCCTCGGAAGTGTCAGGCAGCAGCCCGCTTCTTATAGGATTACCCTAGGCTATCTCTGGACAGGGAGGAGGACAGTGTCCTGCCCTCTTCTCTCTCCTCTTCTCTCTCCTCTTCTCTCTCCTCTCCTGTTCCCCTCTCTCTCCTCGCTTTCCTTCTGAGACTCCCGGACTGCGCCCTTTGCCACACAGAGGAGGGAAAAACACCTGAAGCTTGGGAAACTGCATATACAACATTTCGACGTTCCCTGTCCTTTGGATGCTGTATGCTTTCCGATTTTTTTTTTTTTTTTGGTCCCTCTGAATCTTTGCTGTTGAAATTACACGTTTGCACGTTTTACGCATCCGATTTTATTGCGTGGGTGCAATCTACCAGTTTTTTTATTTCTGTTTTCACTGACATTTAGGTCCTCGCTCGATTAACCCAAGGTGCAAAAGGAGAATGAATCTGAATATGCCCCTAGATGATGGAAAGATACAACCGCCATCTTGTTCGTGTTTTGTGCATGTGGTGAGTAGTGGACAGAGGCCCTTTTCTCTGTGGATGGGCAGTTCCTTCATCTCTGCAAGATCTCGCGCACGGCACGTGTTTGTCCTCAGTTGTCGAGAAGAGAACACACGCATTCAAAAATCTCCATATTATAACTGAGATCGCATATTTTATTTATTATTATTATTATTTTTATTCATTTATTTTTGAACAAGGATGGTGCGCTTACCGATTTATTATAGCGCGTGCAAGGATGGTACGGGTGCAGATTTACAGCGCGCGCAATGATCCTACGGTTGCAGATTTATTGCGCGTGCAAGGATCGGACGGTTGCAGATTTAGAGAAGTTAAGAGAACTGAGACGTTGGAAGGACCCCCCCGTTATTGCTCTGTGAATCTTCGTCGTATATTCCTTGAACAAAGTCCGAAAATTCTCCGAACTACCAACTGGCCTAGCTCAGTTAGTACTACGCCCGGTCGTCGCACTTTCTGCGAATTTGATTCTCTCTTGTGTGAGGGAGGTGGTCTGTTGTATGGTATATAGTGATGCTGTGAGATGTAATCCTCTTTTTTTTTTTTTTTTTTTTTTTTTAATTCTGTGAGATGTAATCCTCAACCACATTGTTAATGTTTTCAATTTCAAGTCTTTCTTCTACAATGGGGATGGACTCGGATGGAGAAGAGTGAGGTAAGGAGTTGTTGCCACGGCGTTTGTCGGACGGTTGTATAGTAGCGTATATCTAGAGAGCGGACGATAACTTGGTGATGATTGAATCATCGCCGAACTATCGTTGAACGTGCTAAGAATCTGCGTTAACAACCCAAAAACACACAAGTTTTGATCAATCGAGCAAGTTGATAAAGCACGCAATTGTACCCAAGAGCCTAGCTCAGTGGGTACACCGATGAACTGTTGAAATACAGACCTGTGTTCGAATCCAGATGATGGAACTTGACGAGTAAAACCAACTACTAACGAATTGCTTGGGGCCAGTCAGCTCAATGATAATATCTCAAGGCCGTCGCCCCTTTTAATAAAGAAAATAGAGAAAGAATATAAAGCACGCACTAGGTTATTTTGTTATGCAATAGCAGCAATACTTTTTTTTCTATGCAAAAAATCGATTGAAATTTGATCCGGCTTCAGCTTTAATAGGCTTTGTTTGTCAAAAAGAGAGTTATGTTCGTTTCGCGCCTGGTCGTTATTTTTATTTCGCTTTTTTGCAATCGGCTCGTTCTTGTACAATCACGATGGAGGAGAAGTCAGAACAGTGCCGAGCGTAAGGAGTTGATGCTGGGGTGTTGATCGGGCCGGGCGGCTGCTGTATAACCGTTTATCGAGAGCGGAGAATGACCGGTGATATGATCAGATCAGATGGCTGTCCTCCCAGCGGAGGGATAGTTTGTTCCTCAAAAAAGTGATCCTGCGTTTTTTTTTTTTTTTTTTTTTTTTACCCTTTTGCGATGTCCCGAGGCCTCGGATCTTTTAGGAGGCCAAAACGATTTAAATGACGGATGCCGATAAGATTTATCAACGGCAGCCGTGGTGGGGCCCGGCCCCCGATTTTTATTTATTTATTTATTTATTTTTGTCCTCTTTTTTTTTCCCTTTTTCGATCCCCCCGATTTTTTAGGAGTAGGCTTTTTTTTTTTTTTTCGCGAAAAACGCGAGCAATTCATTACAGAAAACAAATGATCGAGGGCGGGGACCTCACAATTCGACCCCGGATGTTATCCTGGCAACCTTAGCCAGTTTCGCTTGTCGAAAGAAGAGTAGGCAATTTTCCCCGTTTTCTCCGCAGCGGGAAAAAGGAAATTGGGCCATTTCTTCGACATTGGGCCATTTTCTCGATTTATGCGTGTCATCCTTGCGCGGCAGGGGCCATGCTACTAATCTTCTTTTTTGTTTTGTTTTTTTTTGTTTTTTTTTGTTTTGTTTCCATGCCGTGCTACTAATCTTTGGTTTGATTCTTGGATTCAAAATATGTTGCATAAGAATCCTTCCCCTTTTTATCTGGGGCTGTATTTGAATGCGTGCCTTGAGAAAAGCTGCCACCTTAGCTGTTCTGAGACTCCCACTTCCTCCCTCCCTATAGCACCATCCGCGTGTGGTCTTGGGTGTGGTAGACTGGTAAGTCAGTCTTGACTGTGAGTGAATGACAAACCACCTTATATATGTATGCCCCTTACTTGATGATATATGCACTGCCGGTGGTAGTCTCACCCTGGCCATGCATTCTCCCATAACCTTGTCCCCACTTTGTTCCCCTTATGTAGTCACCGCAGATATGACATTTTGTATGCTTGTTCCATCATGATGGGGTTTCCTGTGCATCGAGTCGATCTGAGATTCAACCTTGGATTGTGATCTTCTGGCGCATGATGAACGGTACGACTGTATGGCACTAATTGATGGGAGGCTAAAATGGTGGGACAATAATGGTGGGTCCTTCCTCTGCGCTCTGTAGCCTATGTAGTTGTATACTTATTTAGACAAACAAAAGAGTTTGTTATTATTAATGGAGAAAAGATTGGACATTCTTCTTGTACGTATGAATTTTTGCTCTACTATTTTTACAGCAACACAGCTTATAAGTCATAAAAATATTTGTGTTAATAATCAAATTATCCTTCGGCCTAGCTTTCAAGTTTCCAGTGGTGATCTTATTTCTATTCAACAAAATTGCAAGTCAACCATCAAACAAAATATAAGATATAACCGAATTTAAAAAAACAAA